GGCAGTGGCCACTGGTGAAACCGGGGCTGGTGTTGACTGCGTTCCGTCGCGCCCGAGAGTGTGTGCGTGATGTGGGAGAGTTGATGATGACAGGTGCAAAGCGAGCTCAATGGGTTGGCCGTTGGTGCTGCAATTGCCCTAAGGGGGTGTCGCCTGTAGAGGCCTTCTGCTGCGTGGCCGCGGAATGGCATGCTGAAGTGGCTCTTGAGAAACTGCGACTAGTTGGGCACGCGTGTGTATGTGAATGACTTCAGTTAAACGTTTTAAGGTCAGCGAGGGGTAACAGTCGTCTACGACGACGTATGACTTTGGGACAGCGAGCATTGGAGAACAAAGGGGGGGGCAGACATTGTGACCGTCCGCCACCAAGGCGAATTGGTCTACGAAGGAGCGTGCTTATCGGTGGTAGATGGAAATGCACGTAAGTTTACCTCAAAAGCAGTGAAGACTAGACTCATGCCTGTAAATTGAACAGCTGAAGAGGTCAAAGTCCCTCCTTCCCCCAGCAAAACTCTCGACAGGACTTTGACTTCCATAGTACATTATATTATCCGAGATTTCGCAATATACGGTATGTACGACCAAACTCGATCCGGTAGTTTCAGCTAGAAAGGATGAATTTGGATGATCACCTTTCCTTACTCGCTAGAACCGAGCACGCAAGCTGTGCACAAAAGTGCGCCTCTTATCCACAGAATGTTGCACTAGGTGTGGACTAACTTCTATACTTCTAACGAGCATTAGTCAAATGTGGACTTACCGTATTTTTTAACATTAGCTTCATCGTTTCAGACAACATGCGAAGAGTTCAGCCGAACTACGTAAAGTCATTTGGCCAACGTTAGCGATTGCCATCAGATTAAGCAAATCGGTCTTGTGCAAACAGAAGAACCTCGTACAAGTTCTGCGCTCCTCGTGGTCCGAGGTCGATTAGTCATACCCAACTCTTCGCTGTCTTTTCGCCTTGACACTGACTGTTCGTAGCCTTCACTGTCTCTTATTACCCCCACCCCCCAACCTACGCCCCGCGCGTGTTAAGACGAGCTCTAATTGATTTCACTAACCCCTATCCACCATAAACGTACTGGCCGGGTGAGAATTTGTCGAAAGTAAATGTGCTCTCTGGCCAACGAGATTCGTGAATTGCGAATGCCTTCACGACATACTATTATTTTACATAGGCAATTCGACTGTTTCATTTCCCACGAAAATATTACCTTATGCATTAATTTCATCAAACGTGGTCGATTTTACACAGACAGCAAAGAGATTTTTGTTAAACACGCGCACTACCTAAGTAATCGCTTTTAGCAGTTATGATTTTGGCAAGTGGCTGGAAGGATGCCAATAATTTGGGAAACCATGTTGCATGTCAATGGGTATTACAGTCACACACACCTAAGCACTCCCTTCTAGCTGAAACCACACTTTAGAATTTCAGCCATCCGTACGCGAACGATCTCCGCACCTAATCCCCACCGCCGCATGCAGCCTACAACTTATCCTCCGAGTACTGGCTGTCTTTATCGAGGTAGATAGAGAATCCAGTGCTCTGCAGTAACGCTCACGTAACCCACAGGGTTCTTTCAACCCTCAACTGTAGTTTTTGAGCAATTTTTTTGTTAACCGCAACCCTACTGCGCATTCATGACCATTTTTTCCTCGCATCGGTATTAGTATGTAGAGGGGACTTTTTATGCTCTGCCATCACTGGATTCACTGAATGGCCTGCAGCTGGGCATCATTCCTCTCTTTCTGCCGTTGCGTTTAGATTTATTTCCCCTCCCTCCCTCCCTCCCCCGCCTGGCTTTGCTTTCTGCACTTGCTCTCTATCATTCCGCCTCTACAGGGACTTCCGGACGACCTGCCAGTTTCTGCCCTCGGTGACGTCATTGTGCAGGACCAGTTTACTGTGTGGGAGCCGAAACAGCTGATCAAGAAGGGCAGAGAACGCAGAGTTTTTCTCTTTGACTTCTGTTTGGTCCTGGCCAAGGAGTGTCCTGTCGCGCCTGGTGACCACAAAATGAAGTAAGTTTTTGTGTGTTGCGTAAAATTCCTCTTTTTTTCTCGAAAATTGAAGCCTGTTTGTCAGTCGCGCCTCTCCGAACATTTATGCATCTGCCCTCCGCTCCCCAGTTCCGCCTTACTCTGTGTGATTTGATCTCATATATGTGAAACTCTAGGTGTCAGGAGAATAAAAAGGGCGTTTAACGGGAATCGATTCTATAGTTTGTCTCCTGAGGGACGTCATCTTTTGAAGAAAGTTGAGCACCAGCAAGGGTACTGTTTCGTCTTTCTTGACTTCTCTGACTCTATATCCAGCAGTCACGCGTACGTGAAACCCAATAGTAACAACTATCAGGGCAGTACGGTACTATTAAGCAAAATAGTAAAGGATAAACCATGTACAAACCTCGCCAAATGGATGCACAAATTCAAGAACGGAGGGAGTTGACCAAATAGCCTGACAACACAATTCAACGGCCACACAGGGCGAAACCGGTCTTGGGATAGCGTGTGTGTTATTGGGAGAGGGGACGTGGCTCTGCCCCTATATGATGTCAGGAGGCATTTCATGTGGCATCAGGATTGGTCTGAAACACCAGCGCGGAAAGGGGGGTTCGTAAACAGAGGCAGTATGAAAGTG